TTACTAAGTAACAATACACCCTAACAAAGGTGATGTCACTGTGAGTAGTAGTATATTGTTCATTAGTCTAACAAAGGTGAAATTGATGCCACTCTGCATCTATGAATTTCTGTTCAATAAGACTGTTGAAGCGGGTGCTATGAAACTATTGTCCTCATATCATAGATGGCTTATGGAAAGTCAGCAGGGAAAATTGTTGTGCTTTTGAGATGACAGCCTCAACAGTGTTTTGCCATGGAAACTATACTACAGCATTATTGTCAGGATGTACTGTCATTGGATAGAACATGACTGGACATGGCAACATAGACTTTAATGATGTGGTCAGGCTCCAAAATCATTTTAATATAGTGTTGTCAGTCTCTTCATAATAATACAACATGTGCATCATGAACAACTGGAGTTATGGTAATGACCGAAGTTCAAGGGGGCATCACAATTGAAGCTGTATTCTTAAAAAATGCTTAGTATTTCCATTAACCCTTACTGGACCAGGAGGAGGTTGTCCCTAATAACCCTTTATTTTTTCTTCTCACAGTGGAATTAGAAATACTTCACCAAACTGCGTGGAACCATAGGGAAATTTTTTTAAATAATATCTAGTTTATGATTTTAAAAATTTCATGTAGTTTGATTTAGTTTTCTATTTCTTAATGTCAGGAAATTTTCAGAATTTTATGAGACAGTGTTTTCAAAAACATTTAAAAAAAAATGTGTTTCAAAACTTTATTTAAAGATTTATAGATGACCTTAACGTTAAACCTGATTTGAAAATGGTGTCAGATCAGGCTAGGTAACATTGTTTTTGTTAAGAATATTCTTAGTCAAAACTCAATCTTTATATAATGTGTACCTCGTGTCATGTCACCAAATAAAATTGCCTTAACTTTCACATGGCCGGGTGGTTAGGGAGCTCGACTCACAATCTGCGGGTCGCTAGGTTTAGAAAGAATGACACACATCAAAAGAATAATAGTGGTAATATGCTATGAAGTGTTAATAGGGTTTAGTTTTAGATTTGTAGTGTTTATAAGACTAACAGAATAGGAAAATGCAGGGTCTGGTAGCATCCTGTCCCATGTATACCAGAGGTTAATCATAGTATCTCTTAACACTTCAACCTCCCACCCCAAACAAAATCTTGTCTTGCGATGCTTGGAAAATGATTTTTTTTTGTCAATAAGCCCCTGCCTCGACTCGCAATCTGTGGGTCGCGGGTTTGAATCCCGTCACACCAAACATGATCACCGTTTCAGCCATGGGGGGCATTATAATGTAACGGTCAATCCCACTATTTGTTGGTAAAAGAGTAGCCCAAGAGTTGGTGGTGTGTGGTTATGACTAGCTGCCTTCCTTCTAGTCTTTCACTGCTAAATTAGCGAGGACTAGTGCAGATAGCCCTCGTGTAGCTTTGCGAGAAATTCAAAACAAGCCAACAAACCTTACTTTCAAACAAATATAATTTAGTATTTGAAAGTTTAAAAGAAAGAGAAAAAAATATTCCAAGATCTGTGGTTTGTTTCTAAATCTTCTAACTTCACAATACATTCCATTATTACTTGCAGGATCTACATCTAGTCATCATTTTCTAAAACTGTAAGTTACCTATTTCACCCATTTATTCACTTTACAGAAATGACGTAGTCTACTCTATCCAATAGTATTTACACTTTGCCTGTAGCTATTTTCAAAGCTGTTCTTCTTTAGCAGTTGTTCTCACTGTTTATGACCTCTCAATAGACTGTCAGACAGAAAGTTATGAGAGGTGGTTAATTGTATTATCGAGGGACGATAATCTATACTTTGGAATGGACCAAAAAAAATCAGAGCTGGCAGAAATATAACTTTGAATATTTTTTTTCTATTTTTTCTTTGTGAATTGCCACAAATGATTGGTAGTAAGAAACAAATTACCTATTCTGAACTGTCATTGAGCAACAAATTGCTGAAATAAAATCAAACTAATTATTCTGAACTGTCATTGAGTAACAAATTGGTGAAATAAAATCAAACTAATTATTCTGAACTGTCATTGAGTAACAAATTGGTGAAATAAAATCAAACTAATTATTCTGAACTGTCATTGAGTAACAAATTGGTGAAATAAAATCAAACTAATTATTCTGAACTGTCATTGAGTAACAAATTGATGAAATAAAATCAAACTAATTATTTTGAACTGTCGTTGAGTAACAAATTGGTGAAATAAAATCAAACTAATTATTTTTTGTTTAGATTTTTTTTAAATCTGATAATGTAGGTGTGCATCCAACTCCTGAAAGGAATTCACTGGTCCAGAAAGGGTTAAAGTGAAAACTGGAAAAGGTTACAATGATTGATGGACACTAAAGTATTTAAGATGAGTCTTAAAAACATCTAATGACAGAGGTGTAGGAGGCAAATTAAAAGTGTAAGGGGGGCAAGATTTATTTGACCAAGTGAACTCGGGGAATGTGCACTCATTACATCTGGGATTCAGAGCTCATTGTAGGATCCTGGAAGCTGGATTAAATTTTATGCATTTTCCTGATTTCCTTGAAAGTAGTTTTCCTAATTTTGATGCATTTTTAATGAAACAGGTTGAAATGCATGTCTTCAGTGAATAGGTTGAATTGGTTTTTTTTTGCACTGAATGCAAAAGCAACTCCATTCCGTTGTAACTAAAGTAACAGTAACATTAAACCAGAGTTAATTGACATTTTATACTCGTACTGAGATGGCTGTTCACCCAGTATCCTTGTAAAGGAACAGGCTTGTGTTCAACAGCTTAATAAGAACTGGATGATACACGGTAACTTAAATTACTTGTCTCGTTTCCTGATGATACACGGTAACTTAAATTACTTGTCTCATTTCCTGATGATACACGGTAACTTAAATTACTTGTCTCATTTCCTTAACGTTACTTTTAATTGTTTTTCAGCTTTTAGGAACTAGAGCATGGTAAATTTTAAAGTTGCTTTGAATGTATTATATGTGTCAAAAAGCAAGCATTTTTGTATTTGTTTCATGAGGAAGGGATTATATTTTCAGAAAATAGGAACAGGAATGGCAAGTATTCTTGTGTTTGTCTTCATGGGGACAGGAAGCCACAGGAAAGGAAAGCTAACCTCCAGAAGTTCAAGGTACTTTTTTGTTGTTTAAAACTTATAATGTTGTTCAATTTTAAACTTATCTAGACAGATAAACTCCTCATAGTATACACATTATGGTTATTATGAATTTAGAGATTTATCAAAATAATTAACTTAAACTGAGGAATGGCACACTTAGAGAAATTTATCAAAATTATGGTTGATTTGTGTACATCTAACGTGGTTTTTCAGAAAACCTCTTTAAGCTGAGGAATATATCTTTAGATTTATCAGATTAATGATTGATTAAAGACTGAAGAATATACATCTAGAGATTTATCAGAAAAATGAGTGATTTAAACTTTAAGGAATACTCATCTAATACATATATAATGACAATTAGTAATTTGCCTAGTCAATAAAATAATGGCTTTTTAATTTTTCAGAACAGAGAGGTGAAGTTTCTCATCTGTACTGATGTTGCTGCTAGGGGTATAGATGTATCGGGGGTCCCATTTGGTAAGATGAAAAACACTGTCAATATTTGTCTCACTATGTTTTCTTGCATCCCATAGACATTTGGAAAAAGAACGAATAATGCATTATTTCTGTTGTTGAATGTCATAACCGACATTATGTTAACTCTGTAATGCATCACATTGAAATTGTTTGAGTTCTTGAAATCCAACCCGTAGATTTTTAGTTTCTGTGGGAAGTAACCATATGCTACACTCATCTATTGACCTCACTGGATTAACAAGCTTAGATCTATAATTTGGATTAAAAACTAAAACATTTAGTATACATAAGTTCATTCAAAAGTAATAGAAACTTCACTGATAGTTATCAGTAATTCAAGAAATTAGGAAGTTCACATTTTACATTCTGGTCTGTTAGTATCTATAGTGTGTTTTTCTAATTGGTTTTACAACCTTGAAACTCGTGAAAGGGAAAAGAGAAAACATAAAAAGGAGAGATATATCATGTGATATAGAAAACATAAAAAGGAGAGATATATCATGTGATATAGAAAACATAAAAAGGAGAGATATATCATGTGACATAGAAAAGCGAAAACTGAAAATTTATTTATATATTTCATTTTGAAATTAAAGCTTAGAGACTTTAAATTATACTGTTTTAATTCCAAATGTTTTAACCTTTATATAGAGGCTGGTTTAAAGTGTGCATTTAACCACCTTTTTCCAGAATGAATTCAAAATTTTATTAAACTTTATTATCAATCTATGTCAGTAAACTTGGCATTGAAACAGTTTATAATCCAATGTTTAATATTATACAAGTTTTAGTTTCTTAATTTCAACGGAGATATTTAAATAAATTCTCAGTCTTCACTTCTCTGTACCATATAACACTTCTTCACTCGAAATTGTCCATTTTAGGTTTAATTTCTACCCATGTATGATTTTCTAAATTAAGCACAACTTACGTACTTATACTATAGACATTGTAAAGTAAATTCTCTGATCTTTGTTGTTGTTTTTTCACTGAAATATAAACCAGAAAGTCAAATCCTCATGCCGTGCTTTTTCTGTTATATACTGTCTTTCTAGAGATGTCAGTAATTCTCTCGTATTTGCTATTAGATTATTTATGACCAATGTAAAGAGAAATTGATTCTACTTTACTGAATTCTTTGCAAGCCTAGATCATAAACTGACTTGTTTGGAAACATTCAGCCAACTAACAGAATTTATTTGACCCATTTACAGCTGAGTTAGAAAGTCATCTACATTATAGTAGTTTTAAGACATTGTATTTTCTGTGTATGATAATATTTTATGTTCTAAATTGCATACTTGGATTTGGAAATATTTATATTATGAAGCATTAAATAGGGTTTTGGTACAGCAGCTACATTGTCTTTCTGACAGCAAAAATACAAGAGCCCTTGTGTAAATAATAAATTTTAGTTATTGCTATGAAAGTCACTAAAATATATGGTACAAAAAATTAATAATAACTTGAGGTTAGATAAGAAAACTTAAATAAAAAAATTATGTAAAATTCTCATGATATTTTATAATCTAGCAGCGAACGCATCACATTGTGTTATGTTCTTTAACTGTTTACACAAAGCTATCCCACGGTGATAAACGGTTTTCTTTGCTTTACAGACGTACTTACTGTCTTAGTCTGAAAACTAAATGAATGCTGTTAAGAATAAGTGTGATTGTAAGTTACAATATTCAATCATTCTAGGAAGAAAGATAATTTATTTTCAACTTTTTATTTTGCCCTTCATTGCTATTTCCGCTACAGTTGGAGTAAATAAAATAGTTTTACTGGAAAAACTTAATATTCATAAAAAAAAAAGTATTTTTATTCATAACATGAAATCATATTTCACTTGGACTGATTCAGTAAAATCTTCGTAAGATCTTTACTAAAAAAATACATTAGAAAGTCTGATTTGATAGTCTTCAACTATAGTGTATAAAGTTGCATGATTGTTAGAAGATCTGACAAATTATACAAGCGTGTGTAAGCAGAGTTGACACATATTTATAATAGTTTAATTAAATTTTGAATTAAACTCTGTAAAAGGTCATGACCTGCACGAGCCAAGGGATTAAATCCATAACTGATTATTAAAATTTAAGAGATGTAAAATTTATCATTAACCGTTATTATTGTACTGTTCTGATTTTACAGTTTGTGGTTAATTTTTCATCATTATTTTTAAACTATTAATTAAAAAGTTGTTCCTGTGATTTTTTTTTTAGTCATTAATGTGACGCTACCTGATGAAAAATCCAATTACGTCCACAGGATTGGGCGAGTTGGGAGAGCTGAAAGGTATACAAGATTCTGTATGTTTCTCTTTCCTTAACCCTTTAATATTAGCCTGGTAATTCAAATGTTACATGTAATTGTTGATTGTCTCATTCGAAAACACTTTAAAATGGACCAGTTTGTAGCTTTTAAGTGTTATATTTTGTTAGAAAAAAATACTTGTACGTAACACTTCTTCATTGTTTATTGTGTTAAAAAACGAATGTGTAATCTACAAATGAAAAAATGTGTCTTCTTTTTGCTTGTACTATTTATAGTGTGTGTGTGTGTGCTAGAAGAATTGTGTGATTGGATTTATTTTTAATTTTTTTCTATTCAACTGTGATGATAAAATATTTAACTAATACACTTAGTAAACTTGGAAATAAATCAAATATTCGATTTTATAGCTATTATTCTGGCCATTCCAACTGCTGCTGTAGTTGATAAACTTGTTACATTATATTAATACCTGGTTCTCTCCCAATACGCATACTTCCACACAGCCATCGTAACAAGTGTGTTGCTACTGTAGTTGATAAACTTGTTACAGTATATTAATACCTGGTTCTCTTCCAATGCACATACTTCGACACAGCCATCGTAACAAGCGTCTTGCTGCTGTAGTTGATAAACTTGTTACAGTATATTAATACCTGGTTCTCTTCCAATGCACATACTTCACCACAGCCATCGTAACAAGTGTCTTGCTACTGTAGTTGATAAACTTGTTACAGTATAGTAATACCTGGTTCTCTTCCAATCTACATACTTCCGACACAGCCATCGTAACAAGTGTCTTGCTGCTGTAGTTGATAAACTTGTTACAGTATATTAATACCTGGTTTTCTTCCAATGCACATACTTCACCACAGCCATCGTAACAAGTGTCTTGCTACTGTAGTTGATAAACTTGTTACAGTATAGTAATACCTGGTTCTCTTCCAATCTACATACTTTGACACAGCCATCATAACAAGTGTCTTGCTGCTGTAGTTGATAAACTTGTTACAGTATATTAATACCTGGTTCTCTTCCAATCTACATACTTTGACACAGCCATCATAACAAGTGTCTTGCTGCTGTAGTTGATAAACTTGTT